CTCTCCTGCCCCGAGCAGCTGCCCCCGGCCCCCGCCGGGTCCTGAAGACCCAACGGCGTAGGCTGCCCTCTGTCCCAGCACCTTTCTGCCCACTCCCCCATGTCCAAGTCCCTCACACTTCTCAGAAGTCCAGCTGACTGCTTCTCACTTCCTACTCAAACACAGCCCCACACACGCTTTGTTTTTAAAGCGTGCTTTGGGGCCAGCAGGTGGCGCAGTGGTTAAGGTGCTGGTCTCCTACATGGTCAGCAACGGTTCAAGTCCTAGACCTGGCAGTTTGAAAATCATACCAGGTGCATGTGCGTGCGTGCCCCAAATCCCAGGAGAATGGGGAAGGGACTGCCACATGACGCCCCCTTCCTCCGTCTCCCCGCGAGTGTGCACACCCTACGGCAAAGAGTTAGAACAAGCTGCTTTATACTTACCATTAATTCTTCCCAAATTCTTCCGCAGAAAAGCTCTGCCATGTGGTATTTTTTATATAAACAAATGAACAGACAAGCGACTGGCACTGCCGTATCTTTACCGGAGACCCCCCCCTGGGGTCCTGTCCGCTCGCCCTGCTCCAGCTGCTGCTGCAGCACTGGGACCCAGGACTGCCTTCACCTCCCCACAGCCTCGCTGAGCCCCAAGTCTTCCTTCTCCTCGGTTTACTACCCACTAGTATCTTCCTAGGAAAGGGCGGACGGCCCTGGACACGCATTCTTAGTGAACCCTCGCCTTTCTAGGCTCAGCCAGATTAACTTCCTCTATGACGAAGGCTTCTGTCTGACCATCTCCCGGCCTCCTGTGTCCAGCGCTGTAGTTGAAAAGTATAAAGAAGCTACTGTAATTCTTTTTGTTTTGTACATGGTCTCTACCCCTTGCCTAGACCTTTTTCTGTAATCTCTCCTTCCAGCTCCAAAGAACAAAACACGTTGAGAGAACCTGACGCCATGAGCCACAGGCAACGAACACCAGGCTGTAACTCAGTTAAGCTGTTTGCTCCATGGCAAAATTAAACATACCTGTGGGTGGGTTCTAGGAGAAGAGTGTCAAAGGGAACAAGGAGGCTAGTAAGAGGTGACTGTCCTACCTATCCCACAGTTACACACAGAGCAGCCTGAAGGCCGTCGAGGCCCATCTGCATGGCATGAAAAGAAAGTTAATTCCCAACAGCACGCGACTCCTTCCTTTAACAGAAAACAAGGGAAACAATTTACGGCGAGGTAGGCTAGATGCCTGGACTGCTCTGCAGGTACCAGAGACGGGGAGCGGCACCCCAAGGCCCCGACTGTCCCTGGGCAGTCAGGCCTGCCAACCTTGAAGCCTGAGGGGCCAGACCCGGCCCGAGGCATACGAGCTGCAGATGCAGAAGGCGAACCTTCCACACTGACGGCATTCACCTACTGGCTCGAGGTCTGCAAGGGTGCAGTATGATCAGTTCAGTATGATCAAGTTCCAGAAGGGTGCAGTGTCAGAAAAACTCACGGTGCCTGAGCCGTGCTGAGTGCGAACTTCCATCGCCATCAGAAGGTTCAAAATCAGCCCTCACTTCTTAGCACTCGCACCTGCCCTGCCGGCTGCTACTGGCCTGGCCTGCGACACCCGGCCCCCGCCGGGTCCTGAAGACCCAACGGCGTAGGCTGCCCTCTGTCCCAGCACCTTTCTGCCCACTCCCCCATGTCCAAGTCCCTCACACTTCTCAGAAGTCCAGCTGACTGCTTCTCACTTCCTACTCAAACACAGCCCCACACACGCTTTGTCGAAGACCCCAGTGGGCGTCAGAAATCGCAGACGGTACGTAACCCGACACACCCAACGCTCCTCAGCCGCATAACAGAGACGGCCCCTAAGTGGCAACTGGGCGGGCAGCGCCCACAGCACAGACGCCCTGGACAAAGGGGCAATTCCCATCCCAGGTCAAGACGGCCGGGACCGTGTGAGACACTGTCACAGCGCTCAGGATGACGACAATGGAAAACTTACAAACCGTTTATTTCTGTATTTTCTATTTAGTATTTGTAGACCACAGCTGACCATGGGTAGTTAAAGTCATGAAAAGCTGAAAACACACATATGGGAGGACTCCTGTAAGTTTTCAAAGGTCCTCCAGAAACCCGCCACACACCACCTATGTAACAGCCCTGCGGGGCCCTCGAGCACCCTTCACTGCTCCGGGTTAGTCCGCTCACCAGCCCTGAACTATTCTATGCTATTTACTCCAGAGACCCACCACGCACTACCTACTTAACAATTCCCCCAGCTCCTCAAACAGCTCTTGTCCCACCTAGGTCAGCCACGTGCCGGCCAGGAGCGAGTCAGCCTGCTGACTCCCTGGGCTCCCACCCCAGCTCTGTCACCCACGCGCCCCCCATGCCCG